ATTTTGATGTTATTACAAATTTTGTTGCAAATATTATTCCTAATCTTAAATTGAAAACCGCGTTTCGCTCGAGGGGGTTAAAATTTTTAACCCCCTCCCATACCCCCTTACCTACCCCCCACCCTCACCAAAAACTAAGGGCCAGATTCTCGGGTGCCACAGTATTTTTGTACCAAATTTGACATAATACGGACCTGATTTTTTTCAATTTAATTAAATCCTTTCATCACTCTTAAAACACTATATAATCACTTTCATATTTGCCGACGTTTCGTACAGAAAATTCCATCACCAGAATATTTTATGCAAAAAAAATAATAAAAAATAAAAATGCAATACGGCATTTTATTGAGCATCAAATTGCGCAACTTTGTCTCCATTTAACCGATCCTGTATCTCTTACGGTTTCCGAAATCCCAATAATGAGCGTCGAATTCGAGCCAACCTGTACAAAATAAAACATTTAGTAAGAGTTCTCCTTTTTTAATAAATAATAATAATAATAATGCTAGTAAATGTATGACCTGTTTAGCGAAACCGCTAAACAGATTTTAATCAAATTTGAAAAACCGTAAAGACAAAATATGTTACCTTTATCCTGATCTACCAGCTCTGAAAATATTTGTAATTATTTAAAACTCACCCTGTATATCTAGGAGCAAAGTTTTTTTTTTGAAAATAATCATTTAACATAAATTCACATAATTCTACTAAACTGGTTTTGATATTTTAACATAAAATTAAAGGTTATTATCTAGAGAAGAAAATATGCTTAAGAATAAGACAAAATCTCCTCCTTCCATTCAACTCTTAATACCCTAACAACATCTCTGACCCTAATCGTCATAACGTACGACATAAGCGACCCTAAACAGGGCAGCACGGCAGGGCAACACTTCCGCCGGCGATCCGTCGTGGCGGAAGGGGGGAGAGCGCCGCCACTGGACTCCGCCCCCACCCCCGACGCCGCCAATGGGCGACGAGCGCGCGGACGCATCGATAAGCGTCGCGACGCCTTGGCCGCAGCCGTTTGTTGTTCTTGATTGTGTTTTGTCTATTCGAATCGGTGGGGGTGGGGGTTTGTTTGGGGGGATCTAGGGCGAGGAGGGTGGAAGGGGGGTAATGGGGGATGGAGGAAGATTGTTTTTCGATTTGGAACGGTCGAATTCGGTCTTGATTTATGCGATTGTTTATTGTCCTCTCGCTTTTGTTTTATGGGGGTTGGGGGTGTATACGGGGTGGGTCGTAACTAACATGTTCTGTCTTTAAAGGATAGTGCAGTTATTTTATTTACTATAACTTTTCTGTTTTTGAAGATAGAACATTCATTAAAAAATTAAAGTGTATGGTTTTTACTCAAGTTTACCAAATATGTCATACGCTGTCAAATGTCACAGTTAATTTTATTCTTAGTTTGAGGTCAGGTGTAAATAAATATTTTATAGATTTAATCCGTTAATTATTATTTATTGTAAATTGATATTAAAGTAATTTCATCACGTTTCGACCATTAAGTAAATACCTATTTTTTATTTTGACTTTTAAAAATTAGGACAAGTTTTAAAAAGTACCAAATCTACGTTCAGGATGAACTACGAACAGTAGAAGATATCATTTAATACGAAGATTAATTAATTCAAGTTGCTCATTTTGAAAAAGACCAAGTTAAGGGTCGAAACGTCATGACATTACTTTGTTTTATCAATAAATAATAATTAATGGATTAAATCTCTACAATATTTATTTACACCTGACCTCAAACCAAGAATAAAATTTACTTAAAATATATTTCATAAGGTCAAAGAATAATTGAAACTAGAAAAATGTTACAGTTATTGACATAAACAGTTTTATTTTCAATGGGACACCCGGTATATTAGAAGTGTATTTGATATATATTTTCGGATTTCAAAAATCTATCACGCATGCTCTTTTATTTTATGAGTTTTATTGAAATTCGATTAAAACATATACATTATGTTTATTGTCCGAATGTAGTTAAAAAAAGTATTTTAAGTTAACGTCTCCTCTTTGTTGCTAAGGCTAATCTGGACGGGACCTACTTTGTTTACGCGGAATCCGAACCGCGGTCCTCGGTCATATCATTGTGAGTAGCCTAGCGACTTGGCGAGTGTCCAAATCGAGTGTTACTCACGGAATATCGGCTATCGCTCGAATTTATTCTATTATTGATAATAATTGATTTTACACTCTTGCCATGGAACGACAGCACGAGTTTTCAGACGATCACCCGTCCATCCATTAATATCGCCTAACGTCGCTTAACTTCACATAGAAAATCACATAGTTTGTTTTTTTGACTCAAAAAATAGAAAAATTAAAGTGTTTTAAAAGAGGGACACACCGAAATAGTTAACATTACGATATTCATTTTCAATTTCTGATGAATGTTTTAAATTAAATAATTACTTACTACTTGACTATACACTTATTTTAAATATTCTCCATAAGGTCTTACAAGTACCGTATGATCGAATAAAGACGGCGTCAGCGATGGCTATGAAATGACGATCGACGACATTTCCCATATAATTTTACATATAAAATGACAGCCATCTTCATTTCATAGCCATCACTGACGCCGTTTTTATTCGATCATACGGTACATACAGAGAATGTAAATTATTGTAGTTATTACAAAAGTAAATTGATCGTAGTGAACTAGTAGAAAACGGAATACAAGCATATTTTATTTCCATTATTAGGATTAAGAAGAGCAAGTTAAATGATTATTATTTGAGAAAAATTTTGTGTAATGGACTTTGATGTGGGTTATTTGTTTCAGAAGTGTGGACATATATTAAAATGTTGGTTCCATTTCTTGTTAAATTAGTGACATATTATGTAAAATAAAACAAGGTATATTTTTATTTTATATTTAGTAATTTATTTAACACTCTACGATTTTCTTTGTATTACAATATGAATACTATATACAAAATTTCACAGTTAAAACTATAATACTTGTATTACATCACAATATTTTTTTTCGGTAACAATATCTCAACCTATATTCACTACTTATATTATTTTTTATAGGTAAATTACAATCTACATAATTTTTTACAGTATTATTCTATTGCTTGCGATACTAGAGCATTAAAACGTACAGATTGTATTGCCTCATAATTAAATAAGTATTATTATACAAATATATACATATTAGCATTAGCTTCCACTCAATGGTTTGAATTTTAACCTGTAAGACAGTGATGTATGCGGCTTACTGAGAAATCAAATTATTAAAGAGAGAAAAACGTAAGTTGGGTTAATAATTTTTGCTAAGCGGTATTGCCGGATTTTGCATCAAAATTTTAAACTGCACAAGTAGGCGATTCCGAAAAATGCATCTAGGGTTGGAACTTTATTTTTCACAATTATTTATTCATTTTACTATAGCTGTAATGGATTATATTTAGCTTAGATATATTATCTTCATTTCAGTAGTATACATGAAAATTTTTAATATAATTTATTTTCTTCTACACACATTTTCCTACAAACCTAAAAACCGACAACAATGTATGCCGCTTTTTATTTTGTCTCTCTGTCTGTTAATCGGTCATTTATATTATTCTCTGTCTTACACATTAAAATCCAGACCACACTTCTAAAATGACCAGGTCTGTATAGTCATATCATTGCGGATTTCTATTCTTTTTATTATTAATTAACAAATTAATACATAAAAAAGAGAGAGGCATGGCACTCGAAATGTTAATTTCAATAAACAGTAAACTGAAATCGGACCTTATTCTTTAGCTAAAAGACATATTTGTCAAGTCAATATCTCCTTAGTTGAATGAATAAATGTCATTTGACTGGTGTAAAATAATTATAATTTTTTTTATTAATATGATATATTGCAAACAATTTTATTCGAACTGAAATTAAATCATACCAAAAATCCATATAATATTTTAATAATCTTAAGGCGCATTCTTACGACTCTTCTACTTGGCAAGTATTTTTTATTGGCATACAGGAACTGGCGAGAATGCGGCTTAGTTCCTATAATAAATATAACATAGAAATTCTGTATAGATGCCCGACGCACCGTGTATACCCTGTATTACATATGTTTGTCAAGTACACGAGTCGTGAGAATGCGCCATTAAGGAAGGAGACCTTTACATAATGATAAATATTTGCCCAATTTTTTTATTGTTTTTTTTTAGCAAATAGAACAAATTTAATCTTGTATCACATCCTTATGTTTATTAAAAAAATCTGTTTGGTTCTAATTACGCGTTCTCACGACTCGTGTACTTGGCAAGTATTTTTTATTGGCCTAGAGGGTCTGACGGGAGTGCGGTGTAGTTCCTATAATAAATAACTTATACCCTGTACACCAATTACAAATGTTTGTCAAGTACACGAGTCGTGAGAATGCGCCTTAAGAAGAAACATTGTTGATTGGATTACTTTTTTCGTAGATATTTACAGAATAAAATTATAATATATAATATTTTTAAGTTTGTTACTACTTTCTTTTAGTTCCACAATTTGTGTGCTGACTATTTTCTTCTATTAGTAATGGAATCAATAGGCACATTCAAAATAATGTTATTTACAATATGAAACAATATATTTACAATCTCTAGAAACCATACTAGTAATGCAGTGAATGAATGTTACGTTCATGGTAGGGTTAGGTCGAGGGTTAGGTGAACCCTGTTCTGCTACATATCTACCATATTCCCAAAACTTGTCAAAAAATGTGAAGACTCTAACGATGAGAATGTGTGTTATGTCGTGGAGGCTCAAGTTCGTTTACTTGAAATCAGTTATGTAAAAAATATTTGTTTATTTAGTATTTGGAGCATTTTTGAATATTATGCCATAATTTTTTTTTGCGAAAATGCATAATTTTTAGTTTTTCAACTTTAGAATAGCTGAAAAGTATAGCAAGATTTGAAAAGTACTCGGCAATTGGAATTCGTAAACAGACGCGTTTTAGCTTACAGTGTTTTGATTGCTTTGGTTAAGTTTGTTTTGGTTTGGTTTGGTTTTTCGGTCCATTTTCGTTTATTTTCGTTTTTTCTCGGTATGGTATTGATGTCTAAATTACAGTATCTACTAGGTTAAGTTCATACCTACACAAGAAAAGTGTTTAGAATGTAAAGCAGGAACACGTACTCATGTAACTGATTTCAGTTATTCTAAAGTCGGAAAAAAAGAGAATAATGCATTTCCGCAGAAATTTTTTTATGATTTTGTGTTTGAGAAAGCTTCTATATAATGAATGTTTTATTTTTTTAATAAGTGATTTCAAGTAAAAAAAAATTCACCTGTAGTGGACCACTGGGGGTCCACCTGGACTTCTTTGGGAATCACTGATCTAGACCATACTATATTGAACATTGAACACTTTCTTACATTGAATATTCTCTCATAGATAGATATCTCATTCCATCTTGTTTCGCCAAGCATGGAAATATCGGGAATCAAACTCTGAAAAACGATTCCCGAAAGAAAAAAGTTGAACACATTTTATTGAATCTCTAGAGAGGGACATATCCCACTTGGCAACGCTCTTGCATAGTGGTGTTTATGATAGAATCAAAGACTAATAAAAAAAAGCCGCTAAAATCCTTATGTAGGCGACGGGTCTTTAACTACTACGTTTTCTGTCATCCCGTTCCCTCCGATGTCGTGTTTTCGCTGTAGCGCCTGAAGCGTCAGCGGCGGCAACAGCGGGAAGTTGAGTCCGGCCGCCTGCTGAAAATTGGCAACGTGCTGCAAACTCTGCAGCAGAGCGGCCGAGTGTTCTTGCGCTTTCCTGCGCAGCTCGGCAACGCTGGACTGGCGCTGATCGCTTCCTACGGGCGAGCCTTGAGACGATACTGCCGGTCCTGCTTCGGTAGAGGGCAGCAGGTGGGCAGGGGACAGGCCGCTTCCGAGGGGTTTGATCGGACAGCAGGAACACAAACCGGGGAAACCTGGAAGAAAGTATTTTTTTTACTAAGAACGCTTAAAATTTTGCTAAAATATTCATTAATTATTTTAAGTTCTAAACCAAGGCAATGAAGTAGGTAAATGTCTAACAGTACTGGATCCGGCTGCAGAATTATGACGCTGAGTGCATGTTGTATCAAAACCTAATTATTAGGTATATTTATGAATAGGGGAATATACTTTTAACAGGGTACCAATCAAAAAGTTGCCCCAACTATGTTGAATTAAAATAATTAAATAATAATAACTGATTTTGGAGATAACATTACATCGATAAATTTTTTTGAATATTTTTATGTCAAATTAAAGCTATTTTTATTCTGTGCATGATGTTATAAAAGTTCCTCTCAAAAAGTTGCCGCAAATAGGGGTTGCCACGGTTTAGAGTCGTTCCCGTGAAATACTTTAAATATAAAAAAGTTTATTTTTTAGCTCTCCATCTGAGAAAGGAATATAATACAGGCTGTTCCATTCTGTCCCAGTCGTTTATCGTTTTAAAAGCAACAGTAACTGATGGTATCCATACATACATATATTATGAATAAATTACTAATTTTTAATGAAATGATAAATTTTGTTGGCTTTTTATAAATTACTCTCCCTTTTATAAAGGTGACATCATTCCCTATACAGATTGAGTCTTAATTAAGTGCAAATATTTTTAGGTGAAAAAAAAATTAAATTTTGAATTTTTTGAAAAAAATTTTGGACATTTTTTTAATTTTTATTTCAAAAACATATTATCTTCATAATATGGCAATATAGGCAGTCTATTAAATTTACAAGAAAGAAAACTCAGTGAAAAGTGGGTCTCAAAATTTAAGCGAAAAATACATTTTTTTAAATTTTCAAAGTAAAATATCTCGGTTATTTTGGACTTATTTGAAAAACGGTAAAGAGAAAATATGTGACTTTTATCGAGATCTACCCCCCTGAAAATATTTGCACTTATTTAAGACCCACTCTGTATAACTTTTCCTTCAAATTACACAACTTATTTTTATTTTTTTCTTAGAAATTAGGTCCGTTAAGTAGTAAGCTATGTTAAACAATTTCTTTTTAACTTAATCAGAAGCGTATAGTGGCAGTGATAAACGATTTTTTCTAAGTAGGCTATGAAAAATTTATTTGGATTTTTAGTATGGTGCAAGTACATTTTCGAGATATCTAAACCTCAAGAAGAAATTACATTTAATTAACAAACCTTCATGAAGCCACTTTGATAAATGGGCAAGTTTTTTACAACCATATTTAGTTTTTCTTCAAAAAATATTAATTGTTATCAATAAATTTACCGAAATATATGACCACGGAATAAATAAATTTGTCACGGACAAACAGACTACCATTAGCTATTTTTGCTGCTACCTTGAGAGACAACTACTATTGGTCAAAAAAGCGAAAAATATATTTAATATATAGATTGTTAAACATTGGTATACTTTTGTAATATAGTATGATCGAAAAAAACAGCACTCAGTTGGCTTGGAAATGAACGTCGAAGACATTCCCATATGCATCTATAACATTCATCATATAATTTTACATATAGAATGACAGCGACCTTCATTTCATAGCCATCGCTGATGCTGTTTCTTTTTGATCATATTGTATTAAAAATAAAACAACTCTTTTAAATAAAGTTTTCAAACTTCAATCAATAAAGCGAGTTTTTAGGCATTTATTATTTTAAATATAAATATTTCACAGATGTCAGAGAATCACAAAAGTCAAATTTCACGTAAACCAATTAATAAAAATTATCCCATATGTAGCGGACTTTATCTGTGCCACTGTATACATTTATCGGATAAATTAAACAGTAAGTTGAGCCCATTTAAACAGTTGTTTTTGAATAAGAAAAATACCAGCATATACGGACTTTGCATATCTGTTTGAAAGAATGATTTTGCATTAAATATTGACAATTTGCTGTAACTTTTTTAGTACATAATCATTTATTATCTATATAAGTTCTGAGGGAGACCTCTCGTCTCTAAAGAAGTCTAAGTTGTTAGACTTTTTTTTAAATCATATCATAACTTATTCAATAAATGTCATTAGACTTGAACGTGCGAAGGTTGTCTCTCCCAACGCAACACATTATTGGTTCAGTAAAAATTCGCACCTGCTGTCTCTAAATTTATCCTCGCGAAACTTTATAAGTTGAAAATTTGATCAAGCTCCTGTAAAAATGTGCTGATACAGCTTATCGAATTTTAATAATAGTAAGTGGATTACAGAAAAAATGAATCCAATAAAGAAACTGTTGGAAAATTCTAAGCAAAACTTTTAAAAGAAACTGCAATTTTCTTAGAATAAATCAGTGGTATTTAACTTCATATTAAAGGATACTGGAAATAAAAAATTTAAATTCATTTAAATTAAAGATAAAACTATAGAATTTTTCAAGAAAAAATTGGTAGTCTGACTAGAATACTTCAAGTCGTAATCTATCTTAAGTTTTTTTCTTACTATGTATTATTATTAACTTTGGTAACTTGTGTCTAATTATAACTAAAATGTTTTTTGAGCTTTGGAAAGCTTTGGAAACAATACTACTAACATTTATGATAATAAATTATGTAAAAAAAAGTTTTTGGTGATATCAAAATGTCTCAAATCATTTGGAACATTGAAACGTGTGCAATTATGTTTCATTTAAAGAAATGCTTATAATATTTACCTTTTAAGGCTGGAAACAAAGGTGGTGAGAACTGCGAGCTAAGATGTGAAGCCAAATGTGGAGGAAAGAACAAAGATGGCGAGGAATTTCTAGCAGCTCCATCCAAAACAGGCCTAAAACCACCAGGACCACTGTAAAAAAATAATAATTATGATAACTTTGAATACAAAGACTAAAGAAAAAGATGAAAATTAACAACATTTAAAAATAAAATATGTGGGTTTAGTTTTAATAGATTGTTTTAAAATGTTGTAATGATATTTCAATTAGAGGGGGAGACGTTAAAAATATAATCGTAACTTGTTCATAGTGTTGTAATTTCTAAGTTAAAATACCCAACTTATTTCGTGCAAAGTGTCATAATCACGACAATAATAAAACTAATTTACGTTTTATTCTTGCAGATCTTTCAGAAACATTTTCTTTTCTTTATAAACAGATACGTTAGCAAACTTAACAACTAATTTCCTGCAAGCACAAATAAATAAGCTGATTAAATCGGGCACCAGTTCCCCACAAAAAATAAATATTTGAGCGTTTGAGGATAAAATTTCCATTAATTTTTAATTTCGTCTTTTTTCGAAAAGACCCCTCCATTGTCCGATTTTAAAACACTGCCACAGATTAGCATCGCTGAATTATTAGCCGAAAAAAGTCGGCTCTCGACGTCGCTTATTGCTACGGCCCGTGGGCAAAGTCGCTTCTCATTTAAATCTATGGAATGCAATCAGAACCACGTAAGTATTTTTTCTTTAGGAATTCTCCAAATAATGCTGATTTTCCCCCAAAAAAAATCAAATTGCTTTTATATCACAATATATTTATATTGCTAAATACAAAGTTCTTGCCTTGAGTTGTTATATTTTTCAATTTTCGAAAGTCGAAAAAAGAAAAAAAGGAATAAATTGTTATGTTTGTCGTTTAGAGGGGGGCCAACTCCAATTCCCACGCCCGTTTTCTGGGCCTACACTTCATCAGATGGGCTATTCAGAGGGAAGTTCAAAAATAACAATTGTTGACAAACATAACGATCTTCTCCTTTTTTTCTTTTTACAGTAATTTATATTAAAATATGTAAAAAAATGTGTATATCTTTATATTATATATTTATACTACAGCTATGAAGAATCCATCTTTGCAATTAAATTAATATAGATGATGATCTCATATTTCAAACGTCGGATTCGAAATTATGATTAATTAAGTTAATTAATGATATTTTAGAAATAATTAACAAAGTTAAATAAAAATTAATAACATAATTTGTCTGGCTATGATCCACAGTTGTTCCTATCCTATGTTGCACAGTCTATTTCCTAGTTTGAAAATATTGGAAAATAACTAAAAATAATTCAAAATTTAGGATTTTTATTGCTTTTTTTTGTACAGGGTGGCTCAAATTGGACGCACTTAAAGGGAAACTCTTTTCTATAGGAGATAGACGAAAACTAAAATCGGTGTCTGGAGCGCAATTTTTATCAGAAACATGATGGTGAAAACCGCATATCGATATCTGTTATCGTTTCGGAGTTACGGGGTGTTTTTCAAAAATGTGCATTTTTAACAAATCGCTGTAAAGTTTTTGCTATGGAAAATTTTGTATTTTTATCTAAATATTTTCAAAGCTGAAGTTACCAGCAAAATTTTTGCAGCCAATTTCGAGAATAATTGAATAGCTAACCAAAATCCTAGCCGTTAGCCGTCGAGGCGGCCGGAAGAATTTTGGGGAAAAATAAAGGTTCTTATTTTTAAATTGTCCGTATAATCTAGATAAGAATTAGAAGTACTTAGCAGTTATGCGAAGATGTCTTTCAGCCCTACTGATGTGTTGAATTCCGCGAGAAATGTTCAAAAACGGTCCCGTCTGTCCACAACAGAAGACATGTCAAACACCTGTAGCAAAATCTCATGTCTTGATTTGCTATTTAATTTTATTGTTGTTCGATATTGTTTAAATGTGTCGATGTTGTTAAATATAGTTTGAATTGTTATAAAATTCTGCATCTCTCATTGCATATATTATTTTCGATTTAAATACTGCTCACAGCTTGATTTTTTTTGCATTACAGTCGGTGCCATCAAAGCCTACTTCTATATCTCGAAGAGGTATCGAGCAACATATCAAGTGTGCTATATTTTTAGAAAGGTAATTTTAAATTAATTTCAATGAATTAAAAATATACAAGGTGTCTCATATAAAAAATCAAATTTTCTGTTGATAATTCTGAAATTATTAATTATAAAAAATATACTTAAACCATTAAATTCTATGTAAAAAGGTGCTTTGGAAATGTTTTCATAAAAATACAAAATTCTCCATTGCAGAAAAGTTACAGAGATTTGTTAGAAATGCACATTCTTGAAAAACACCCAGTAACTCCGAAACGGTAACAGGTATCGCATCGATATGCGGTTTTCACCATCATATTTTTGATAGAAGCATTGAGTTCCAGGCACCGATATTAGATCTCCCATAAAAGCGTCTAATTTGACACACCCTGTACCATGTCACTTCGAATGAGAATATACATTTTTGATTATCTATTACGAAATAAAAGTCAAAGATAAATAAGTAAGTAGCCAACAGGTGATATTGTAACTTTATAACTTTAAAGAATAAAGGGAATGAGAGAATCCTACACAAATTTTTAAATCAGGATTGTTAAACTTCAAATTTTTTAAAAATCAGCTTTTTCAACAGAACCAGTGTTTTTTTAATTCTGTAATTTTGTACTTTTCGAGAAAAAAAACGATTTTGAGAGACGACATACAAAAATCGAAAGAATATTAATTTACTTTTGATTCAAGAGTCTATTAGGCTGTACTGTTCGGGTCGCTCTCAGGGGTCGGGTAAAGCGGGTTTGTGGCCGAAGGAAATATATATTATATTTGAGAAATCTGCCTAAGGCTTAGCCCGATTCTGTCGTGAGATTCGAACTCGAAAATGTCGTGTTAAGCCACACCCAAAATTCCAAACACACGTGCTTTGATTAAGGCTTGATTAAGGTTTGCAGAGCTTCAGCATTTGCCATAAAATAGCGAGCAATTTGTTACAAAACCATATAAATTATATATCACTGTAATCACAAAACTTCAATCTATTTCCGTACTGTAACGGAATTTTAAATTATGCGTTTATTTTCGAGAAAATTTAGTCCAAACAAGGAATATTTTGTTGATGTTTGATCATCAAAATCTTAAAAATATAGAAGTTATCTAAAAATGTGCTACAATACGGATATAGTATAATCCTTTATCTTTAAGTTCCTTTTTCATTTGTGTAAAAATACCTAACCAGTTTTACATAAAACGTTAAATGCCGAACGCTTGTTTTGCTATTTTTTCGGACTAGTGAAATGGACTCTTAAAGTATCAATAAGTGTCATGAGGTCGTCTTTAGAACAGTTTTTTTAGAGGTGGATGTTATTATCAACCTAAGAATCCATAAGGAATTTGATAATAACTTGATAATAACGATAATATTGAAATAAATAATAAGGAACTTTGATAATAAGAAACAGCTAGCCTAAAGTGCCCCAAAATTAAAATAATAAGGGTAGATAGAAAAGGCCAAACAAGGAATATTTTGTTGATGTTTGATCATCAAAATCTTAAAAATATAGAAGTTATCTAAAAATGTGCTACAATACGGATATAGTATAATCCTTTATCTTTAAGTTCCTTTTTCATTTGTGTAAAAATACCTAACCAGTTTTACATAAAACGTTAAATGCCGAACGCTTGTTTTGCTATTTTTTCGGACTAGTGAAATGGACTCTTAAAGTATCAATAAGTGTCATGAGGTCGTCTTTAGAACAGTTTTTTTAGAGGTGGATGTTATTATCAACCTAAGAATCCATAAGGAATTTGATAATAACTTGATAATAACGATAATATTGAAATAAATAATAAGGAACTTTGATAATAAGAAACAGCTAGCCTAAAGTGCCCCAAAATTAAAATAATAAGGGTAGATAGAAAAGGCTGTGTGGTAGCGCCCGCAGGGGAGAAAAGAAAGCTGATTTTTAGCATTTTAAATTCCACTCCCTTTAATTTCCCATTACGTCCCGTCGCACCCTCCGATTTAAATAAATAATAGAGCATTTTTATGGTGGCGCGGCGGTCGGATCCGCCGCGCGCACTTGATTCGATCACGTGCATTATTAAAGCGGAGAAGAAATTTTCGCAATTACTTTACGTACAATGGCGACATGAAAATTTTAGACCCGATTATCGGCGAGAATTAATTGAAATTTACAGTTGTTTTAACCGAAAGTTTGCCTAGCCAGCAGCGAACGTACAGGGCTTTAAAAATATCGGTTTTGTTTTATAATAAATGCGATCGTTAAGTCTAAGTGTTTAGTTTTTAATGATTTAATTAAATTTGCATTTCATTATTTTTTTATTAGAGTTTTATACCCATATACTACATTATATTCCATGTACCCCCTATAACTTTTTTATTTTTTCAGATAAATAAACGAGACTTGGTACGTTAGTATATGACATAAATCAGGATTGATTGATATATTCAATTGTTTTCGGTCACTTCCTGTTTCACCGGAAATGACTACAACTTTTGATTTTTAAATGGCAACCTCGGTAATTTTTACTTTCTTCTTCTTCTTCCGCTTACTCTTAGACAGCATCTACAATATGCGGAGAACTCTTCGAGGCAGGACAAGGTTGCATTTTGTCGCCCAACTTTGTCGTATTTCGATTTATTTCCAGTTATCTTGACCCACTTCGGTTTGCCTCGACCTACTTTCGATTCTTAAAAGCGCCTGAAAACTACTCGTGAAGAGGGCGTGGGGGATTTTTTTGCGTTTCCTGCTGACCCGTTCAATTTTGTTTCGTTTTGAGTAATTTCCAATTTGGCGGTATCTGTACCCGAGGCAAAGGATTTTTTTTCATAAATCTCAGTGAAATAATTAAACCTAGACGTTTCTAAAATATTTTGTTAATTACATCTCGTTTTATGTTGATATATATTCCACAAAATTAATATTTGAACATGCGTTTATAATATGTAGAGTAGATATTTAGGAAAAAAAATTTCATTCAATCTGCAGGAATATAATTACATTATGTTTATTATTAATTTTATTATAATGAATTATTATATCAAATT